ACCTGAACCAGCAACCACATCAGGACACGAGTCCTGAGGAGACACTTCTGCCTTTGCCTCCCACTTTGTGTTCTTTAAGACAGCAACATGTACCTGCTTCATCTTCTGTTTAACAGGCTTTTACATTATTTTGCTATCCAAAACAGAGAGAGAGGGAGAAGGAATGATACAAATGCAGATGGACTGGACTGCAATAGAGTATCACTGACTACAAAGCAAAGACCCAGCTGTCAGATTTACAGGGACAAAAGCAGACACAGGTAACAGTACACAGAAGTGTTTACAAGCGAAAATCTACCACGAGATTACAGATTCAGGAGCCTTCCTGGAGAACAAAGGACACTATCAGAGCTGATCTGATATGTGCCAGGACAAAAAGAGTAAATTCAAGTGGCTAGTTCCATACAGCTTCCAAATGTTAGGCTACAGTCCTCTCCTGGTTCCGATGGCCCCAGTAGACAACTATCACTGGAAGACTCTCCTGTTCCCTGGACAGACGTCTGTCAAAGCACTTTGTGACACACAGAGGAACAGGGAGATGCAACAGGAGCAAAGGCTGCAGGAATTAAATGCTTGCTGGCAATCTCACACAGAGCAGAAACTCAGGTGAACCCAAGAAAAGTCAGTGGCCTTGCCAAGTGATGTGAGTGCCACAGTAACTCCAGATCACTTGAGCTTCAGCTGGACTTGGGAAAGGCTTCTCTAAAGCCCCTTCCCTGAGGGCCACCCCAGCACCCAGCCGTGGAGCAGCACTGCCCGGTGTCCCTCCTGCAGCACTGCTGAGCAAAATAGCAGGAACAAAGCAAACACCAGTCTGGATCAAAGGCCCTGAATGACCTGCGTTAGGAACCCAGAACAAGGGATAAAACAAAACCCTGAAACACATGGTTTACTACCAAAGCAGAGCAGACAGCACAATGTGAACTATCCTAAAAGTACTCGAAATGTGACAGACATGATTTCAGCTCTGCCAGGACAAGTTAAAGGCACGCGAGAGTGGTGGGGAGTGCCCATAACTCTCCCCAGGGGCAGCCAGCCTGAGACCAGCCCTGCTGAAATAGCCTGAATGCCCAAGCAGAGCACACAGCACGGCCACACTGGCACCAGACAAGATGCACTGCTGGCACCACTGCAGTGCCAGGGTGTTTTCTTAGTCGGAGCAGATGCTGCTTTCAACAGGTCAGAGAAAGGGCAGAGCAGGGGGACACACATCTGCATGTGATTCACAGAAGCAAAGAAGCTCTGAGCTTGGCCACGGACTGAACTCCTTTCTGTGGGCAAGGGCAAGCAGCTTCCAGCAGTAGGGCAGAACAGGCAGCACAGGGGAAGCCTTATCTTAAGTGCAGCCGACCGGAGGCAGGGAAGGAGGCCGAGTAGCCAGGGAGGGCCAGCACAGCTTTGTTCGGCAGCTCCCAGCCGAGACTCCCCTCGCAGGAGGGCAGCAGCACAGGGGAACACACAGCCCCGCACCGCTCACCACACTGCCCTGCGCTCACCACAGGCAGGGTCCCCGCGGCCCCTCAGCCCGCCCGCACCCCCAAACCACAGAGCCCGGGCAGCACCGCCCTGCCCACCCCGGGACCCGGCCCCAGAGCCGGGCTCACCCACACCCAGCCGAGCAGCGCGCCCCGAGCCCAGCGGCCCCCCACACCCCGGGGCACCCCCTAACGCGGGCAGCGCTCCCTGCAGCCACAGCCACCCCGAACCCAGAGCACCCCCCGCACCCACAAACACCTCGAACCCGAGACCCCCCTACACCTGCCCGCAGCCCCCGGGGCGCGGAGCCCCCCCCGGTCGGGCGCGTCCCCCACAGCCGGACGGCACTCCCCGAGCCGGCCGTGCCCGAGCCCCCCCGGGACCCCGCGCCGCCGGGGCCGGGCAGGAGGAGCCGGGGCGGGCCGGGCCCCGCGGCCGCCGCACTCACCGCCCGCCCGGCCGCGCCGCCGCCGCCGCCGCCGCTACGGCGACCCGCGAGGGCCATGGCGGGCGGGCGGGACGCGTTGCCGGGAGACGGGCGGGACCCGCTCGGGCAGCGCCGGGCAGGGCGCCCTGCCCGGGGAAGGGGGAACGGGCAGAGACCCCCCGGTGTCCGCGTGAGCTTTCCCCGGGGAAACCGAACAGGGCCTGGGCAGCCGGCCAAGGCCAGACCGCCCGAGGGAGGCCGGGGAAGGTGCTGCCGACCCCCGGGAGACAACAATCCTCAGGGCCCAGCCGCGAATGCTGCCCCTGGAGAGAGAAGAGGAGGAAAACGACACATGAGCGTGGAGTCCCCCAGTGCACTTTATGGTGCCGGTGGAGTGGGGTCAGGGCCAGCACTCGGGGGCGGCGGGGCCGCGGCGGCTGTGGGGGCTCTGGTCCCGGCTTTGCAGGTGGGAGCGATCTCGGACCTCCAGGGGTGCTGGAGCATCTGCCACCAGCGAGATAGAATCAGAGAATCATGGAATGGTTTGTTTTGAAAGGGACCCTAAAACCCATCTCATTCCACCCCCTGCCATGGGCAGGGACACCTTCCACTAGCCCAGGTTGCTCCAAGCCCCGTCCAACCTGCCCTTGGACACTTCCAGGGATGGGACATCACAACTTCTCAGAGAAACCTGTGGCAGGGCCTCACTGCCCTCACAAGCAAGAACTTCTTCCTCATACCTAATCCAAAGCTACTCTCAATTTGAAGCCATTCCCCCTGGCCTGTTGTTGCCGATTAAGAGCTCTCTAACTCAGATACAGAGTCTAGTTTAGAAAGGAGACATTGTTTATTCTGTGCAGGGTGCAAGGTGGAGGTTTCCACAAATGGAGCCCGCGAACTATCAAAACTTTCAACTATTTATACATTGTAGCAAACAAAGGAATTCCTGTTCATTGGCTGCAAGTTACACAGTTATTTTATTGATTAGTATCTACCTTTTATTTGTTCTCATGCTAATTAGACTGCATGCTCAATCCTTTTCTTCTTTTGGGTCCATAGATTTCTTGGGTCAGTGGTCCATGAAGTCAATGGTCGCAGATCCCCCTGCCAGCATCACCTTTTACCCAGTTGGAGCTGATTCCAGCACAGTTGCTGAGTTGGGTTTATTAGTTTCTTCCTTATCTTGAGACTTCTGCCAGATGTCCTTGTGGCCCATAAATTCTGCATTCTTTATGCCCACTATCAGTGGTCTCCCCAAGCCTTGTTAACCTCCCCCTAGGTCTGAGATCATTGAAGCATGTCCAGCCTTCCACTAGACCAGGTTGCTCCAAGCCCTGTCCAATCTGGCCTTGAACACGTCCAGCTCTGCCTTGGCCTTCCTTATTCCATCCCAACACAACCATCCTTCATCTCTATATGCTTCCCAGGTCACCTGTGCTCGCTTCAACTGTCTATGCATTTGTTTCTTTCCCTTTACTTGGACCAGCAGGTCCTTACTCAGCCATGCCAGTCTCTTCCTTGCCCAATTTATTGCTCCTAGGCATTGCTAGCTGTGGTGCTCCAGGATCTGGGGAGTTGCAGGAGAATCCCGATGGCAGCTGGATGGTGGTGCTGTGGCTGCTGGTGTTGGATGTCAGCAAGCTGTGAAACAGGTCAAGCTCAGGATGCAGCTCTCAGGATTTGGTGCTGGCACAGCAACTTCTGGACTGGCCTTATGGATTCTGGGCCTGATATTGTAACTGAGAATGGTTATGTGTGGGGTCAGGCCCAGCAGTGCTGGAGCAGCTGCTGTCCTAATGTTCTGGGGAGCTGTGGGATGGCCCTGATGCTGCCTGGATGTCCCAGCCCCTGCAATGGGCTGCCCAGAGGGGCTGTGAAGTCTCCTTCCCTGGAGACATTCAAAACATTTCTGGAAGTGACCCTTGAGCCTGGCCTAGGCTCACACATCCCATCTGCTCAGACACAGTGGGTGGCCAGGGCAACACACGGGACCTCAGGATGGCACCTAAATGTCACAGGTGACTCAGCATCTTTCTCCTGAACTCCTTAGTGCTTCGGTGATGTGCTATCTCCAGAAAAAAGAGCAGGAGGGCTGCAGAGTCACAGCAGAAATGGACTTTTTCCAGTGCAATAAACTGCCTTTCAGAGTCAGTGTGAGCCTTGCTTTGGTGGGGTAGGAAGCTGCAAGTGGCAGTAAAGCTTTGGAGATGCCAGAAAGGGGCATATGTGAGCAAAGAGAGCAGGACAGCCCCTCTCCCTGGCAACTCTCCCTCTGGCCTGTGCCTTTACAGGTGATTTTGGGGACTTCCCTGCTGGAGGAGCAGGGAGGGAAAGCTTTTGGGGTGAAAGTTTGTGACTCACATATCTAAATCTTGCCAAACTTCTCCCCTTGCCTCAGAGTCTTTTACCAGCCACATCCTGGTCTGAAATGCTGGGATCTCTTCTCTGGGCAGACCCTAAGGGTGGTGGTCCCTCACTCAGAGACCCCCAGAAAGCTAAAGCAAGGCAAAGGCTGAACAGCCTCTGAGACTGCCCACACCTCATAGTCTGGACTCTAAAGGGTGGCACATCAAGTGAGGGAGCTCCCATCAGTACTATCTGTCAAAAAAGACAAGCTTTATCTACTTTGTCTCTTTCTTCCTCTCCTTTCCACATTCCTTCATTCCTTTTATTTCTATCTTGCCAGCCTCTGTACTTCCTTGGCCTGATGTCTCTATCTGGACTTCTATTTTGCATAAGAGATGGAGCTTTTACCATCTAATAATTCCTTGGAAAGAAAAAAGCAAAAGTGAAATCTGTAAAAAAAACTCACTATAGTTATATTTGCACCCCTGAGTAGGTAACACACAAATGCAAACAACATCCTAGGCGATACAAGAGGGGAATCTCTTGAGATATTTTGGTCCATGTGCCTGGTCAAGCAGGGTCCATTGGAGCAGGTTGCCCAGTCAGATTTCACCTGCCTCCAAGGCACAATGGGTGGCAAGTGGCTGAGGCCATCCCTGCCCATATTTTGTGTGCATGATGCCGATGTCACAGTGGCCACTGTGACCTGTGGGGCCAAGGGCATAAATGCTGGGCTCAGGCCGTGTGTCAGCGTGGCCTGACGATGGGAGGAGGGATGGGGCTTGTGATGAGCTTCTGAGGGAAGAGAGGAGCCCCGCACCTCGGGGCTCTGGGCCTGTGCTGCAATCTCACCCACTGCCCGCTCCTTAGAACCTGTGGAGGAGCACCTGGAGGAGCATTCCAGGGACAGGGACCATGTCAGACAGGAAGGAGGAGCCCCCTGAAGTGAGGGAGCCAGGTGAGAGCAAAGTGCCCTTCCCGCAGCCTGGCAGAGGGGCTGTCAGGGCGGCCAGCGTGGGGCTGGGAGCAGTGGCACGGGTAGGCAGGAGCTGTCCAGCCATCCCGGGGCTGGGACCCTTGTTTCCTCATCAAGCGGGGCCCAGCTGGGGCAGGGGACACCTGCTGGGACACCCGTGCCCACAATGTCCTGTCCTCCCCAAGGCCTCCAGCCCTGCCCTTCAGCCAGCCAGGCAGGGACAGAGCAGCCCTTGGGGTCGATCCCGCAGGGAAGCTGCCCCAGCCCTGCAGAGCTGCCATGGTCTCTCTCCCCTCCAGCATGCCTGCTGTGTGGAAGATCAGAGGCTGACCCGGACATCTGTGGGGAAAAAATGCAGAAATATGGGCTTTGTGCCCACGTGTTCTGCCTGGTGAGTTGCTCCGTGGGCTCTGTCCAGCTTTCCAATGGGCAGTTCCCACTACGCTCTTCTCTTCAACACCTCATCTTTTCTCTCCTGCAGTTTTTTGCTAAACTTTTTCCACAAAGAAACAAGAATGTAGGATTCCTAGGCCTTCTCCCCAAGGATATCCAACATACAATTGACCAGGCAGCACAAAAGGTGAGAGGCTGACTAGAGCAGGGAGATTTGTGCCAGGTGAGGTTTGCTGGAGCTTAGCCCAAAACCCAAGCAAGAAAGCCCAGCCCTTCCAACCAGCTCTGGGAGGAGGAGGAGGCCCTGAGGCTGCTGCTGATGGGGCTGCTCTGCTCTTTCCAGAGCTGCTTCATCTGCGGCCAGAGTGGGGCCACCATCGCCTGCTGTGAAAAAGATTGTGACCTGAGCTTCCACCTGCCCTGTGCCAAGCAGGGAGGCTGTGTCACCCAGTTCATTCCACCATACAGGTACCTCCTGTCCCCTTCTCACCTCCACCAGGGAAGCGCCCAGCACTTCTCACCTCACCCACCCCTTTTCCCCCCAGGTCCTTCTGCCCTGCACACAGCCCAGAGCAGACAGTGGAGGCAACTCCAGAGCCAGGCACCAAATGCCTCATCTGCATGGAGCCTGTGGAGGACAGAAAGACCTTCAACACCATGGTGTGCCCAGCCTGTAAAACCACGTGGTTCCACAGGGACTGTATCCAGAATCAGGCTATTCATTCTGGATTCTACATCTTCTGCTGCCCACATTGTCAAAATGAGTATCGATTTCTGATGGAAATGTTTATCATGGGGATACGAATCCCCAGGAGGTTGGTATTTTTTCTTCACAGCTCACAACACAGGTGGGTGCAAGTGCTGTGCCGTGCCAGGGCCTGCCCCAGCAGTCCTGGCCCTGCACTGTTCCGTGAGTCCTGGGTTTAGCTTCATGCAGGAGTTGGAAATGGCACAGGGGGAAGAGCAGGAATGCCCTGCACCTGCCTGCCACTCTGCTATCAGGGTCTCATCAATTTTCCCTTCCTTTCCCAAAAGGGGACCATCATGGGAGGAAGACGGTGCCTATGGACAATTATACGAGAGACACAGCTGCTGCAATGCCAGTGAGTGCCTTTTTCCAGGAGGCAGGGAGGAGGCAGAGGAACAGGGGTAAGTTGCCAAAGCTGTACCCTGGGACTCTGCAGGGGATCTGTGCCTCAGCAAGGGCTTGAAGCAGAAGGACCCAGGAGAAGAGCTCAGCCAGATAATCCCACGCTTTGGACACTTTGTCCTCACCTCCATGAACCCGTTTGCTTCCCCAGGCCCTGGGAACTGCTCCTGTGCTCCTCCTGTGCTGCCGAGGGCACTCACAGACACTGCTCTGGCCTGAGGGACAGCACAACCAGCTGGGAATGTGATGGTTGTGCTGGTCTGGGTACATGTAAGAAGCAAAGCACCCTGGTGACCCTGGGCCTGGCAGCGGGTGTCCAGGGTGGGCTTGGCAGAGCCTGTCTGCTCCAGGAGGGCTGGGGGCACTGCTCTGGCCTATCCTGCCCTGGGCCTGGGGCAGCCTTGACATTCCTGCTTCCCCATACAGCCTCCAGAGATGACTCGGAGCTCAGCATGGACAAACAGCTGGGATTGGAACCTTCCCACACCATGCCACCACCTGACACCATCAGCCCCAGCACAGGCAGCCTGGTGCCATCAGGGCTGTCTCACAGATCTCTAGCACCTGAGATCAGCAGCCAGGCAGAATCAGGACAGTCTCTGGAATCTCCCTCTCTAGAGACCAGCAGCTCCAGCACCACCAGCCAGGCATCATCAGGGTCCTCCTGTGTCTCCCACGATCTAGAAAGTGGCAGACGCTCCAGCAGCCCTGGGCCTGTGTGGATCCGACACCATTCCCGCCTGCAACGTCAGGCCCAGAATCCCCACAGCCAGTCTGGACATGGGCACTGGACCTGCAGTGCACCATCCCGGAATGCTGGCCCTGATCCCGCTCCACCAACACAATAAAGCGCACTGGAAGGCACCATGCTCATATGATGTCAGCTTCCTCCTCCTTCTTCCCTCTCCATGGGCAGCATTCAGGGCTGGGCCCAGGGGGTCGTCGTCTCCCAAGGGTTGGCAGCACCTTCCCCAGCCTCCTTCTTTTCAAGGCCAGCCTTGACTGGCTCCCCAGCACCATGGCTGACAGCTTTGGGCCTCACTGGCCCCAGAGGCTGCTGTTCTGAGGCAGCCCCAAGGCGTTTAATAACTGAGGAGCTTCCAAAACTCAGCAGCTTTCTTTAGATGTCAGCCATTCCCATGGCTGTGACAGGTGGCTCCATAGTCTTTCCATCTTAGCACGGGGCACTGGGGCACAGTCTTACACCCTGCAGACTCACTGAATAATTCACTTCTGGAAAGCAACTGATTTTCTCCACTCCTGCCTCTGTTTACTTGTGTCTGCAAATATGACAACCATCTCCTCGACACAATCCTTGAGCTCACACACAACTCGAGGTCAGGTATGGAAAACAATCCACAATTCACACGTGGAGATGGTTTCACCATTTGGTGGAGCTCAAGAAACGGCTTTTTTTCCTAGAAGCCACGCTGGGAAAGTTCTTGAACTCAGGAGATCTTCCTCTGGGTCACAAATCTGGACCTGCCTAATTCTTTGGAGCACCTGGGACTACACAGAGAGAGCAACCACACAGCTTGAGCCGGACTTATCCCTCACAGCCTCAGCCGGACTTACTTATCCCACACCGCTGGAGCCGGACTTCCCGCCACGAAAGGGCTGCAGACAACAGGACTGCCTCAGGCGCAAGATGTTTGTCAATGACTGTGGGCCCACCTAACACACGGTCAAAGGAGGGTCGGGCAGTCGGAGATCAGGTCCCGCTGTCCCGCCCATCCGTCCGCCCCGCTCACCGCCCATCCCCGCTCACCCCGGGGGAGCTGCCGCGCTCATGGCGCTGGGTCGGGGCGTGCTCGGCCTCTTCAGCCTCCTCCTGCTGCTGCCGCCGGCCGGTGAGCGCGGGGCGGGGGCTCGGCGAGCGGGGGAGCGCTGAGGGGCAGGGGCGTGGGGCTCCGGTGTCGCTTCCTGAGGCGGTTCCGCGGCCGGGGCTGCGTCCCCCGGGAGGACCCGGCCGGAGCCCCCGGCGGGGGTGAGCCCCAGACTGCGGGCAGAGCCCCCTCAGCTCGGCCGCCCGTGCCGGGGCGGGGGCCCAGGGACGCGTGGTTTTGGAGCCGTGTGGCCCCATCGCCGGCGGGAGGTGGCACGGCGGCTTTGGGTTCGCCGGGGGAAAAGTTCCGCGGGAAGTGAGGTGGGTTTGCGTTAGCCGGCAGAAATTAGTGCCCGGGAGTGACTGTGAGGCCCCACCAGGTGATACGGGCTGCTGGCGACTCAGGTAAGGCTGCTGCAGAGAAACGATGGACCGACGCGGCCGCCAGTCACTCGTGATGCATCCCGTTAAAAACCTTCACCTTGTCACTCCCCCGTCTTCCCCCCCAGTAAATTCTACCCTTTTACAGCAAGATAATAGACATACTCAGATGTTAAGCGATGATATTGCATAAACAGCACTGCATAGCTGTCAAATGCTAAAATTGATAACTGGGCTTTTTTTCAGTAGTTCTGTCTGTAGCTATTTTGTTACTGTGCTTAGAGGATGGACCGTTCGCTCTTCCCCAGCTTTGTTGTTGTGATGAGAAAAAGCAAATGCGAGCATAGGACTTAGCAGGTGAAGTCTCAGGAAAGGAGAAGCACTACTGATATTGTATGCATCAGTGGCATCACTTCATCTGAGGCATCATATTCTGCACAGATGTGCAGGAAAGGTGATTGTGACATGCAAGAAGACATTTAATTTAGTCAGAGTGGTCCAGGATCACAGTTTGTCTGGGGGGGTGTGATCTGAAGTGCGTGTGGCTGAAATAGTCAGTTTTATCTGCAAGTACTTTGAGGGGTAACCACCAGAAAAAGGGTCTTTTAAGCTGACTCACCATGACAGTGCTACAGCAGTAACTGTATGGCCTCAAATAAATAAAATTGGAAGTTAGAAGTGTTCTTACTGGAATGGTTGATGACTTTTGGTGGGAAGAGTTTAGCAGCTCTGCTCTCAAGATGGAACTTGGTTAGTCTGTTAAAGAGTTTATGTGGTACTGATTGTGTGAAATCATCTTGCTGTCCTGCAGGGTAGGTTGAACCCCTCAGTAGCAGATACACCAAAATAGGAGGTCATGTCTGCCTGCCTCAGGCTCAGCCCTTCTGTAGTGGTGGGTTGGGTGTACAACGGGCCTCTTCTGAGGTGATTCAAATCAGTAACCCATCAAATCAGTAACCCATCAGAAAACCATCTGAGGAGAAAAAGTCCCATAGGTTGATCTGCTGATGAGCTGGTGAATCAAATCCATTGAGGAAGTATCCAACAGGGGCCACAGCTGATGGAAGAAGCAAGGAACAAAGTAGAGGCATTGAAATATTTGCTTTGGTGTGCTCAGCCCTTGCTGGTGCAGCTCAGCCGCCTGAGAACTGGCCTAGACCTTTAGTTTTCGTTGTTATTTGATTGTCCTGCAGTAGCACAATTGTGAGATGGAGGGAGGAATTTTCTTGGTTGCCTTGTTTTGTTTGTAATTTCACAAGGTGTGTTGGAATCAGTTTAGCTACCTGTCATTTCTTTATAGGGGATACAGGAGGGATAAACCAGCCATAAGCTTGTGTAAACCTGTTAGTCAAAGTACTGTGGTATTGGTACAGAAGTTCCTCTTTGTTTCTGTTTAATGAACCTCCACATTTAACCCCTGGAACATTTTTTTTTTCCTTTTTATCCTTGGCTGAAATATTTAGGTACGTCTTGATGCCAGAGAGTCAAGACTGAATTTTCAAATGCTATAATCAGTTTAAATACTCCAGGAAAAATACCCCTTACTTTTCTACTGAAGGAACAGGATTTGTTGTCTTTGCCTCTTGTTTGCTTTCTCTGAACAACTACACTTGAAGGAATTTGAACTTTTTGGATGGAGTGTGGTTTGGGAGCAAAATATCAGGGTATGTCATCTTAATGCAATATGTGATAGGAAGGGAAATGAGGAATAGAAACCATGTGACTGCAGCATTTATCACTGAAAAATGAAGTTATGCTCTTCTCGGGAAATGAGTTTTGCTTAAGCTCTGAGAAGTATTTTTATGTGACAGTTGGAAGCTTTTGATATGCTGTTTTTGC